TGTGTATTTACAATGTGAAAAAATATATTTAAAAAAAGCAGGACTTGATAAATATGTAAACATTCACTCAACAATTATGGAAGACGTACATGAAATTCAAAAAGTCTTCTTCATCCACTAGAGAACTGACATGTTTGTCCCCTAATGAGGGGGGGAATGGAGGGAGAATTAAACTAAAGAAAAAGGGACAAAACTAATAAGGGCTGGTGAGCACACATACCCTAGCTAGGTAAACTTAAACAAAACAAAACTTTTAGGGATGGGTTGCCATTAAACTAATATCTGAGATGCCTAGCCAACATCCAATTGCCACTCTAAGTCAGCACCATTTACTCAACATAGACATGAAACTCTCACTCACCTTTTACCAAATTCTGATAAGGAGAGTCACTTCCTTTTCATCCTGGTCTTAACTTTAAGCTGATGCTTAAAGAAAAGGATCACTTGGGAAGAGGTCAGCTTCTCATTCTCCTGGAATTCCTTCTGTCATATCATTTTTACACCACAATTCTCAGAATGGTGAGCAAGCAAAAGAAAACAGTGCTCAGTCTTTATCAATAGCAGCATCACATTGCTGCAGAACTAACTTCAAGGGCAAAAAGTTTCCATGCAGAATGCAGACTTTGACTAGCCTGCCCAATGGGCTTATGACCCTGCAGTGAAAGAAGGTGTTTTCAATAGTTTGCACCCACTCATCACAGCAAATGCATTTCAGTAAAATTCCACTGCACAAAACTTGTTGCTGATCCAGTAGGCACCTTGTAATACTAGTCAGGTTACTGATGCCTCAACATTACTAAATTTCAACCCAGGCACTCAAGTCCATAGGAAGTGAAATTTGTCAGACCAAGCTCATTCATCAAATGATTGTGCTCATATTTCCTTACTAACACTTAATATCTTCCAAGACTATGGCTGGGGGTTAGAGAGGCCAGTCTTCATCCATAAGAAAAACTTTGACATATTTTGTCATTTGTTATAGTAGAAGCACTAACCTCTTGGCAAGTGGCAGGCTTCCCCTTTGCATGAATTCACACTCCTCAAAGCTGAAAAGTTCACCCTTCTCATTGGTTTGTTTACACATCTGATCTAGGAAACTGATACAGAGAATATATTGATAAACCTCAATGCTAGACATTCTTAGACTGCCTTCAGACAGGTGAAAATAACCAAACTTGCAATGTACCTTGGGAGTATGGACTTGTAGAGGGACCGTGGGTTTAAGTGTGGTTGAATTAGAAACACGTGCTATTTATTCCTGATAGAAGAAGGTCCAACTACAAGAAAATGGCTGGCTTGAATTAAGTCCAACTGAAGATGTAAAGAAAACAAACAAGACCAAAATATATATGTCAACAAATTTACAAGTGACAAAGACATTAACATTTGTGTGTGAACGTAGAGAGTTTGTATTTTGGTGAATGTTCATGTATGTGTGTTTAATGTTCACGGCATCTTCCCACAAGTTATCTTTGTGAGAGCTTACATTGTAGATGTTTTCGCTGAAATGCAAAGTGAAAAAGAGAATGAGGTGAGAAGTCGCCCAGTATTTATTGTGTAGGGAGATAGACCCCTAGTTAATAATTAGGGAATTAAGGAGGCGGTAACTCCGACAGATTCCCCACAAGAGCAAGAACAAAACTAAAGCAAATAGTTCAGTAGATGAGAGTGGAAGCATGGAGAGTAAGTAAAGAAGAATAGGGTAGATGTGCAAAAAACAAACCTCCAGCCTCCCAAAATTTCCAGTTGGAGATTGGGACTGAACCAGACGTGGGCGCTCTTTTGCAGTCCACTTCAAAATATTTTTTTTACTTTACTTCCTAAACTATTATATTTTCAAGCAAGAAAATCAACAGAAATCTTCACAATCTGGAAGGTGTTGTACTTGAGCCATGTTAATTGACAGAACTTTCAACTTTATCAAAGAAGTACAAGTAATAAGTGAATCAGATATTTTATTGCGCTGGAAGTGAAACAAAAATAGCAATACAATACGACAATGCTTTCCAGTTTTGAGATTGGTGGTGAATGGAGGTAAAAGCACCGTGATATGTCCGCACAGCCACAAATGTTGAACATCTGGAAAAAATTAAGTTCACTAAATACTTAAGACGCTCATCCTGGACTAGTCTGGTACAAGGCTACGGTACTAAAACACTGAGAATTGTATTCAACATGATAATTTTGTTAAGTCTTCTACGATAAACGCGCTCAAAGTATTGATGTAGTTTCTCAGTTTCTGAAATAACGTTTCTCTGATGCTTTTTTTACACATGGGACTTTTTTCTGCTTAACACCGGATTTTCTCAATGCCTGTCGTGCTGTGAGTGTTTAATGATTTTTTAACTTTCTGATTCTTGCTTGGTTCTTTCTTTGTACTATTAACCATTTGTTGAATTTATTCTAACCCCTCCCCAATTAATATCTGCTGCAGTTTCCACCAAATTTTATTTTTTGTTTTGAAAAATCATCAGAATTGAGACAAAAAAAAAGATCCGGAAAAGTTAGATAAGTTAAAAAAACTAAAAGTTGCTTAAAAAAATCAAATCACAGAGAAACTTAATTGGTAAGTTTTTGCATTTTTATTTTTAAATTGATAATCATGCTTTTTTTTCCACCATTTATGTCCAGTTTTTATCTACTATTTGAAACCATATTAACAACTTCTTAAACGTTTCTTTTAGATCGTTTTGTGAAAAGTCTTTAAAGATTTCATTCACAAGTCCATTGTAAAAAGTAAGGCTCATGTGAAAGTAAAAACTAAAAATCATTTCTAACCTTTTTGAATTTAATAAAAGAGTCAATTGTGTTAAAAAGAATGGAATTAAAAGTAAAACAATTCGTTATTAAAATGTATGCTTTTTTGCCAGTAACACTAAAAATTGGATCGTATGATGAAATATTCTTCATTCAGTTTTTTTCGTTATCAAAAAAGTTTTCATTAACTTAAGTTTTAATTAATTAAAACAAATTCTCAGTCAATTAGCAAGTATTTAAACATTTAAATTTTATTTTTTTTTTATGTCTAAAGGAAGATTATATCTTAAAAGAAATATCTTTTACCATGAGTTTTTGCGGCTAAAAAAAGTTATTAAAATTTAAAAAAAAAAAAATGAATTCCTTTTATTTATAATGTCCTAATTTTCATTTACAGGTAGATGAAATTTAAATAATACACACTGAAATACACACACAAATAATACACACATTAGTACAAATTAAAGTTAATTTTTTCTGTCTTGACTTCGTTGTTTTCACTCTCACAACTGACTGATTTTTTGGTATCTTTAAATAAAAGATCAAATATTTATTAAACTAGTAAAATCTACCGGAAATTAACTACTGACACATTTTATTTTTTTACTATTTTTTTCTTTTATTAAAATAAATCATTTCACTTCTGCTTCTTGTGAAGGAATTCGATATCAATTACTGTAATTACTAGTCTCTACAAAATCACTCTTTAATGATATCATTTTTAAGTTTATTTTATTGTAATTAATTTTTTTCTGATTTTTTAAAATTCTTTGAATTCAAAAACATGAACAGAAATCGATGTCCTTTATTATTAATTAAGTATTTTAAATGCAAAAAATTAATTACTAGTCAAGTAAAAATTCTTCTTACTTTTACTAAACTTGAAGTGTTGAGGGATAAACACGTGTTTTAACGAAACAAGATAAATTTATTTACAAATTTACACATTTGAAGTTGTTAGTAGCTTGTTTCAGAAAAAGGAATCAAATATTTAAAGTTCGTAGTTTCGATGAATTGTCAAGAAGAAAAAAATGTTCATAGGATCTACTGGGGTAAAATGGGTATGCAAAGTATTAGCCATAATAGATGTGCCATTGTTCATTTTTTTTAAATGAATTGTGGGATTGTGTGCCTGTATTACGGTAACTAGACTCCTTACCTGTATAAATTTGCCGACAAAGCCAAATATTGCCTTTCTTTCACTTTTGAGAAGGACTTCATAAGGTCAGTATCTCATTTGCGTCTTCTTTTTTTTTTAATTCTAAACCACTTTATGCTTTGTCTGATTTTTGGGTTAAAAATGATCAAAAAGTGTCTGTAAAACTAAAAGAAACATTGAGTCACAATATTTGATTTCCTTTAGTCTATTGACTTTTGTGATAGCCACTTGCTGAAAAATATCAACCTTTTGTAGTCAGGATAAAATGGGTAACTTGATATGTAAGATTCTGTGCACATTTGAAAAGAGTTGTGCTTAAAATGTACCTGTTTTCCTCACTCTTTTTACCCAATTGTAATTTTAAAGTCATACGCTTCCTTGCCTCTAGTGCTGAAGTGCTTAATAAAATCACTGAAAGTTTCATAAACATACCCAAGAAACACAAGAAATATAGTCTGGAGAATCTGACAGATGCCTTGGCTAAAAAAATAGATGCTGGAGAGGCAATAAACAGTGTAGCCAAAGAAGACAATATTCCATATTTTGCTAACATTGTTTGACACAAAGTGACTGATATGTAATTGAAAAGTGTTTAGTAAGAACATATCATCTGAAGCTATTTATTAGGGCACAGGTAATGTAAAGGATAATAATAGTTACTTAACCCATTTTAAATCCTTTCTAATTTTGTACAAAAAGTAAGGTCCAAATAAAGTTTGTTTCATGGGTTATGTGTTCATATAGGTACCAAGTAACTATGCTGCCTTAAAGAGGAGACTTATGGTGTAAAAATAGGGGCTTTTTTTTTTTTTAAGTTCTCTAAAGAAAATAATATGAGGATTTTTTAATTTTAAAATAGGTGTTATCTTACTCATTTTACCCTGGTGTAGACCCCATCAGACACAAAGTAATATTCCAAAATGTTTAAAACAAATTGAGAGAGTTCGTTTTTCACATATAAGTTATAAGGTTGTATTTGACATGAATGAAAAGACATGTTTTAAGGTACTTAGCTTTGGAGTTGAATAAAGTTCTTTGAAATTGCCCTGCTCTCATAGTATAATTTGACACATTTTCAGATTTGATGTTATTCAGACGCATGGAACACTGGCTTTCTGCCTCCTGTTTTTTTCTGCTTTCTTTTTTTTTTTCTCTCTCTCTCTCTCTCTCTCTCTGCCTTGATTCAACTTTCTCTGTCTATTTATATCAAAAAGTAATTTCCCATTGGCTCGTTACTTTTTTCTCAGTTTGTAAGCTGCTCCCTTTTTTCATTGGTCAAAATAAATTTTCACATAGGCTAGTTAAACTTTGCTTTGGTCTTTTCTTCAGCCTGGGGCCAATCCCTATTTCTATTGGTCAAAATAAATTTTTGCATAGGCTCACGAATTTGAAAACACTAGAGAAAAAAAAGTTATTTTTATTTCGTATTCACCACAGACTCACACAGGTAAATTCTTTAAAAGATTGAACTTTGTTTTTTTTTTTATATCTTCAAAAACTGTTGCAAATTGAGGCCAGGTATACTTTTATTAATTTATATTTTCAAAAAATATTCTTAAAAATGAATAAAAGAAAAAAAAAACCGACCATGATCCTTCTTAAGATTAGTATCTATAGGGTCCAAACAAAACCCCCTAAAACTGGCTTCATAATCACTTGCAAGTGCAGTTCCATAGTATTTTATTTTTGTCTATATTTCTGAGATGAGGTATTATGTACACTATTTACATTATTCGGACTATTTCATGTTTTTACCAGAGCTTATATTGCAATTATTGTTGTTGTTATCACTTTTCTCTGGCACTCCTTATTACTGGTTCCCATATTGTATTGCTAGGTGACAAAAGTCTCCTGAGCCGACTAAGCATAGAAATGAATACAATATGGAAACCAGTAATAAGGTGTGCCAGAGAAAAGGGATAATAAATTGCAATATGAGCTCTGGTAAAAAATGGTTGCTGAAGACATTAGGTTTATAATACCCAGAAAGTCATACACAGATGTCCTCAAGGACACATGGCACAGTGGATAATGGACCCAAACAGTGTGAGTTCAATACCTGGTTAAGGTGGTGGAGAACTTGGAGAGGGGATTTAACATGTGATAACTGACATCCATTAGACGTGGCACATGGAACTAGAACAGTCTACCCCAGTGAGCGAAATAAAGGGTTCAGTTCAATATTCCAACCACCTGAAGAAGGCTGGAGTGTACAACGGCTGAAACGTTGTAATAAATGTGGTGACAAAGATAAGGACAATAGTCAGAATAATGTAAATAGTGTATTTTATTTTTAATATAATTTTCCCATAAATAAAAAAAGAAAATATAATTCAAGATTTGCAAATCTTGTCAAAACTGTTTTTCCTCACATTTTCACTTTAATAAAAAAATCTTTCCTATTATTTTTGTTGCAATGCGTGTATAAAACATATCATGAAAACAGGCTATTCAGAATGATAAACTAAATCCAGCAGTAAGGCCAGTGAATCAGGGATTGGAAATTTTGAGTAGTGTGAAATCAACTCTTAATTGCTGTTGTTACCAGATCCACCCTGACTCAGGACAGTAGTACTTGTTAGGGTCCCAACTATGGGCAAAGAGTGTCCCCCCAATAAAATTAAAACACTAGGAAAGTATAAAAATACCAGCAATACATTTTTATAAAAAAAAATTATATACAAAATATCTAGTTAAAAGCATAAAACTGCATTCAAAATATGTTTGGCTGAAGTCATAAAAATTTCAGTCAACTTTCCTATCATTTAGAGCTTAATTAATCTGATTAGGCGTTGTGCAACTTTTTTCAGATCCTGTGTCCACTGAAGTTAGTGTGTGACCTTGCCAGTCATAAGGTGTCTTATACACCTTGATTCTTTGAATTAGTAAGATTTTGATTCATTGTTTAGCTGGTGTCAATAACAGCAAATTAAGGAGAATGAGGCTTGTTGGGTTAAGACAGTGTTTCTCAACCTTTTTAAGCAATGGCACACCTAAGAGCAAATGAAAATATCACAGCACACTAGCAAAATTCTTAAATTTAAATGTTATGAAATAAAACCATAGATTTTTTTTAAAATGATGAATATGAACTTATGATTTCAAGGTTTCTATTCAACTATTTATGCTTATTTAGTGTGAAACCTGGTGTTTTTTGTTTTTTGCAATTTCTTCAATGTTTGGTCAAATATGCAATAAGCCGACCCTCATTTCTTCACTTGAGCATAATCTTTTTCACTTCTTATTTTGATGTTATTTAGGGTTGGGAAACCTAATTTACATAAATAAGAAGTAGGAAATTGCAATAAAGCCTTTTTAGCTAATGCAGGATATTCCTTTTGCATTAAAATCCAAAATGTATCAATGCTTACTGTCATTTTTTTTTTTTTTTTAGCCCTTGATCACTACAAATGGTGTCCAATTCTTCTTTACATATGTGAAGTACAATATTAGAAGGAACATAGTGAAAAGAATTATTTGAAAAAAAAACAAAAAAAAAACAGTTTAATACTGTACTATTGCTACTTGCACACACACACACACACACACACACACACACATGTATGCTGTGACAATATTTTGTGGCACACTTAAGTGGATCATGCAACACACACTGGTGTGCTGCAGCATGGCAGTGCAGTTGAAATTTACTGAATTAGATGGTTTATTTTTAGGAACTAATGCATTCAGTTTATATTGTAAAGATTTGCTTATGTAATTGATTGAATTTCTCCATTTGTATTTAAGATGTGGTGATGAAGATCATTTCCTATTTGGTTAACCTTATCAAAAAGTATTACTTTGCGATGTTCTAATTCATGTGAAGATGATTTTAGGAATTTGTGTAAAGAGAAAATATATGATGTGAAAGTTTGAGTAGTTTGTGAACACTAAGGAATAACTTTTTCTTTAATGCTAATTTTGAAGCAGGCATATATAAAATAAACTGTCACAACTGCTCTTCTGGGGGAAACCTGCAGAAATTTAAAAAATGTACCTATGAACACAAAAAGGATCTTATACACAACAATTTATTAAACGCATTAGTTATACATAGAAATAAATTCAACCACAACTTTGATCTAAAGAATGCCACACTTATTAAAAGAAAGTAACTAAGTAAAGATGGAAAATTCGCAAGACTTCTGCTATCTTATCAAAATATAAATCTGTGCCCCAAATTTCATCAAATATCTCCATTCCTAAAATAATTACTCCTTTCCTAAGCCAACATACTCATGTATGTTGGCTTAGGAAAGGATGAAAAAATGTTAAAAAAATTGAAAGAAAATGATTAAATTCATAACCTGCTGCTATTTAAAATACATAACATATAAATTAATACAAAACTAAATGATTTAATTACTAATTTGCATTCAAATTTGGTGTTAATAACAGCAAATTAAGGAGATTGAGACTTATTGGGTTAAGGACTCAACATGGCCTTGCTGTCTTCTGAACATTTTCTCAAACATTAATGCTACATCTGTGCATTTTGAATATTATCTTTCACAGTGTGAAGACTTACAATCGATATTGGCACAGAGAAGACAACCAGTGCATTGGGGGTCAAAAGAAGAAAATGGCAAGAATCAGAAATTGTAAAAAATACATGGAAAAATATTACTGATGGTAGAGGACTGGGGGCTCCAGATAAAATAAACGTCCCTGAAGCAAGAAACCTTGTCTAATCTTGAGAAATGTGATTAAAAAGAAAAAAAATGAAAGACAAAGTCAATGATGTTAACATTTTGTTATTTAATTTTGTGCTTTTATTTTTCTCTTTTTCTTTCTAGTTGCTTGTTTTTTGTCTGATGGAGAATTTATGAAAATGATTCACAATGAATTCTACAGATATGCAGCAGGTATGTTTAATCTTATTCTTCAGTTATTCCTTTTAGGCTCACAGTTTTAACAGCCTGAGTTTTCTCCTTTTTACTCATAGGCAGTACCATATTATCAAGATAAAACAATTTTTCTAAAAAAAATAAACTGAAGCAAATTTGGAGCTATTTTAGTTTATAAGAAACTACAGCTTGAATTTTGAATATCCTTGTGATTAAACAAAATTTACTCACACAAATTTAGAAATCTTATCAAAAATTATCAAACAGTTTTATAATGAGGAAAACAGTCAGATAATTGTGTGTGTGTGTGTATAATAATGAATACAGAATCCTTTAAAAAAAATCCATTTGGTCAGGTGATAATTTATTTTGTGGACTCAAACATCCATCTCTTCAGACCAATTTTACAAAAGTAAATTATCTTTTGTAAAATTGGCCTGAAGTGATGGATGCCCGAGTTGAAATAAATTATTATCTGACTGAGTGGATTTTTAAGGATTCTGTATTCATTATTATATTTGCTCTGTTCTTACATTGAGCTCTCTTTGGATTTATATCCTCCTTGGAATTATCACTACTAATCATCAAGTGAGATATATATATATATATATATATATATATATATATATATATATACCAGTGTGTGTACTGCTGGCCCTGGCTACACTGTTGGCTGAATTATATATCCATTTACTGTACTCAAATTAGCTTCAAAATTAGATCTTCAAAAGTCACACGATACACAACTATGTATGGTATTTTTTTTTTTTTATTAGCGCTCATATTTATATTTAAAGAAATTTTGTATAATTTGTAATTTCCACAAAAAAATTCTTTTTTTTTTCTTTTTTATCAAAATTTGAAACCCATCCAGTAAAAGAAAAAATCTATTTTCTATTGATGCTTAAAGCTTTATTAATCACAAATTTCTTCAGATCAAATTTGGTTATTTTAGGTTTAAAGGGGCACTTGGCTTTAGGGTAATGGCACCTTCCTTGTTGCATTAAAGAGTGAGGGTTGATGGATGCCAGTGCCAATATGACAGTGGTAGTGATGACTTTTGTCCTTGGCCTGTATCTATACGTATGGGTAGCCTACATTAAATCAACCTTATGTCATATCCAATCACAGATGGGAGATGGGTAAATACCATTTGTAGTGAAACAGTCCATCTCTACCAATAGATGGAGTCACCATAGACTCCTAATTCAAAACAATTTATGAAGTGAAGTTAGTCCTTAACGTTATAGCCAAGGACATGTACTCCAGTTTCCATTGAAGCAGTCCATCTCTACTGATAGATGGAACCACCATAGCCTCTTATTTCATTCACCACAGATTATTACAGGTTAAGAATCCTTTATCTGAAATTCTTGGGACCGGAAGAGCTTTGGTTTTCAGATTTTTTTTTTATTTTGAAATACAGGCTATTTAATTTTTATATAGCATCTATAAACACAATCTCCCTTTATATTTTATAACACAGCTTATACATATACCTTGAGGGTAGTTTTATATCAGCTGAAATATTGAAATTAGTTTTAAAAATGAATAAATTGAAAAACAAATTATTTTTTGTTTACAATTACCTACCTTATGTCTTGACTAAATTTTTCATGTTTGTTTATAGTTTTTTTAAACTGTCCCTTGTGATTCAATTTAGTTAATGATAACCAACAAACAACACATTAAATATTGTTTGTTTTACATTCATTCAATTTTTTTAACCAAAAATTGACTGAAAAAAGTTTATTAAAACAAAATTAAAATATTTAAAAAGCCTAATTTTTTTTATTTGGATTTCATTCACCAGTTTTTTAAAAAAAAGTGCTTAGATTTTGTTTCTTTTTTGTGTGTGTGTGCACATGCATGTCCGTATGTGTATCCCATTTATTAAATCTCAACACTATTAATGTGTATCCCATTTATTAAATCTCAACACTATTAATGAGAAATAAATATTTATTCTCTTACTAAGTTAAAACCAATAAATAAATAAATACTATAGCACATGTACTCCAGTCTTAGATCAAAGTATACTGCCAGTTGTTTTTTTAACTTTTCTGTCCCAATGGGATCAGTCCTGTCAGCTCATCTCTGTAGAGAGTTAGGACCCATTCTCCAAAACAGAGCCAGCTTTCATAGGTTTACATACATTTGAGTATAAAGCACTCATTTATGCTTTTTAGACTCTAGTAGTATAAACCATGTCTGCATCTATTTATTGATTGATTTATATTACAAAATAAAAAGAACAATCTCTGTCTGTCACACACTGACTACATGAGATTTTGCATGCATATATGTGATGTATATGCATATATGTTTGTTGCATGTGCTTGTGCCATTTAATGTATACACACACACTCAACTTGACTAAGTTTGAAATAAGACATTAGAACAGTACACTCTCCTCTCACCCAGTCTGGGCAATCCCTGCAATGACTTGAGAAATAAAGTTGAAGGCAAAAAAAAAAAAAATATCAGATAATTATGGGATTTTATTTAACTTTTTTGATTTTTGGAAATTATTTGCTAATAAATAGAATTATATTTTAATCTATTTACGTTTTTAAAAATTTTATAGAAATATTTAAAAATCTGCATTTGCATGAAATTGAAATGAACTAATGTGTAACGAGGGCTCATTTCTGTTTGATCTGTTGTTATATTCACAATCACGAGTTCCGTAGCCCATTAGAATTATAGGTGCACCACATGTCCTGCAGCAATGGTGTATGTCTTGGGCTCATTTCTCTTTGTCTAGCAACAACCATTTTGAAGTCAGTTTTATGACTTCTCTTATATTTAAGCTGAATCTATTTTCTAATAAATGTAGTATTTTAAATAAACAATTTAGATGTGAAATCTGATCATCTTGCTGTTAGCGAAGCGATGAGAACCAAACTAGTATTATTTTTAAAAAGGTTTTTGTTTTCTTGAATTTATCTCCACACAATTTAAATGGAATTGAAATAGGCATTGATGTCATGAGGGTTAACTTCCCTTTTGGTCTGGTAACAACCCCTGGGTAAGAGGAAAATATTATGTTGAAATGTGTTGCCCTTTGAAGTCAGTTTTATGATAACTCCTGTATTTAAACTGAATATATTTTCTAATAAATGTAGTATTTTAAATAGACAAACAATTTTGATTTTAAATTTGATCCTCTTGCTGCCAGCAAAGCAACAGAGCAAGTTCATTGTAATATTTTTCCTATATTAAATAACACAACAAGAGTTGATATGTTGTTATATTCACAATCACAAGTTCTGTAGCCCATTAGAATTGTAGGTGCACCACATGTCCTGCAACAATGGTATGTCTTGGGCAAGATAACCTGACAGTCCAGCCCTCTTCAGGCTGGTTTGAATTCAGTTTTCCTTCTCCTAGACTGGTTGCCAATCAAGGGTATCAGGTCCAGTCTGTCCTGCTATTTACCTATAGCTTGAAGGAGAAGAGATGGATTTTTACATTTCCCAAGAGTATTTGCACTTAAGTGAATGTAACAAGCTTGACTGAAATTTGAACCCGGCTCTCTGATTTCTCATTCTGAGCCACTGTCCATTACACCACCTGAACTTTTCACATTAACCTAACCTAATAGAAAATACAAGTTCTAAGAAAATATATAAGTTCTTAATTTATGTAAATCATTCCAGTTATTTGTTATTTTTGTCCCACCTCTAAAAAGATTTACTTTGCCTTTGGAAACAAATTGATCAATTCTCAGCTCACTCTGCAACCTGACTGTGGACAGCAAAAAGTATGGAATAGTGGAAGTGCTAAAAATTGATTGTTGTAACTGCAGCTTGTGATGTTCTGTAGTCTTGTTATCCTGTAGTGAGTGTGATCAATTTCTGTCATACTCCGCCCCAATATACATGCAGGTATTTTGACATGCTGTCCTTCTTCATGAGATAACAGACCCCCACCTACTGAGGTTGGACTTTGATGTACACCTAACTGAGCCCAGTTTGATACCAGTGGAACCATCACAATCCAGAACTTCAAGATTGGTGACAGGATCCTGCCATTGGATTCTGAGTAGAGGACAATGAGATCAACAAAAATATAATAAATAATAGGAAAAATCATCATCATTGTCATGATTAAAAATAAAAAAGACAGATAAAAATAATACTAAACATCGTCATTGTCATGATTAAAAATAAAAAAAAGACAGATAAAAAATAATACTAATCATCATCATTGTCATGATTAAAAATAAAAAAAAGACAGGTAAAAATAATACTAATCATCATCATTGTCATGATTAAAAATAAAAAAAAGACAGGTAAAAATAATACTAATCATCATCATTGTCATGATTAAAAATAAAAAAAAGACAGGTAAAAATAATACTAATCATCATCGTCATGATTAAAAATAAAAAAGACAGGTAAAAATAATACTAATTATCATTATGACAATATAGTTTTCCCATTTCATCTTTTTATTTAAAAAAAAAAAAAAATGTTCTATCAAATCCCCACATCGACCAACTCTCATCTTTGTTGACTCAGAGAATGAAATTTATTGCTGCTGCCTGGGTGGGTAAGATATGAAGGTGTTTTGCACCCCCCCCCCCACATACACACATTCAACATAGTTCTCAATCAATTGTTGTGGCAAGACATTATAAAGTGATTAGACAGAGCATAGGGAGAGGTGGATTCATGCCTTTCAGAATGGTTTTAGTGCAAAATGAGCACTATCATTACTAGTATTACAACCAAAATAGTCTCAGTCCTTCCCTCTCTTCCCATTGCTAAATATATTTGTGTATTTCTCTTATAAAACTATGCATTATTTTACTATTCTTGTTCCCAGGAGGAGTTGGAGGTTTTGGAGTCCATTTATGCTGGTGATGATTGCTTTAAACAAATTAATAACACAACATTTCAATACATGGTGAGTATCAAACTGTATCTGTTTATATATCTAAGATGAGGTATTTTAATTATTTACACTATTTACATTGTTCGAACTGTTGTCCTCATCTTTGTTGCCACATTCTTGACATTTTGGCCATTGTAGGCTTTAACCTTATTCAAGATCTATCTCTATCTCTATTTCTGAGATGAGGTATTATAATTATTTACACTATTTACATTGTTTGGGCTGTTTTCCTCATCTTCGTTGCCATATTCACGTTTCAGCTGGCCAAAATGTTGTAAATATGGCAATGAAGATGAGGACAACAATCCAAACAATGTAAATAGTATTAAACTACTTCTCACTTATATGCACATATTTAGTTTAGCACTGAAGAGACCAATGTTTTTCTTGGGGTGAGTCAGAAGAAAAAGTTAATCTGTCAACTCTTTCATATTTTTTTTTTAAAGGAAGAATGGCTTCTGGCCTTTATGAATATTAAGTTCCCAAAACTAAACAATTCTTTTTTCTTTTTTCAAAACTCTTCCTGTAATTAACAGATGGAAGAAAACTTTTTGTGCTGGTTCTATCATTAACCTTTAGCACTCTGTAGGTGACTATTTTGAATTTGAATTTTTTTTGTTGTGTAGTCATATCCTATGGCAAACACCTAAAACAATCTAGACTGAAATTGAGAGATAGGTTACTGCAGTTTCAAATATATAGAACCAATATATAAAACACTATATTTTGAGGAGATTCCATATGCAGTAAAAGGGGAAGTAATATTTATAAATCAGGGGCAGGCAACCTTTTTGAGAGTCCATGCCAATACTGACCAAAGCTCTGACACAAAAAATTTTTTCATGTGCCAACAAAAAATTTTTTCATGTGCCAACAAAAAATTTTTTTTTCTTTTGCAGCATAAAATTTGAAAGAGTTTTCTTTTTCTTTTATCTTTATCTCATCAGTAAAAACCAGGAAATATTAGCTACAATCAGAGCTTCTTTTTATGTGATCTTTGAGTAGGAAGCATATTTGCTACTTAGTAGTCAAAGAAGTAAGTGTTTTGTTGCACCAATTATTAAAAGGAATATCAGATTTATTAGAAACAAAATATTCTATCTTGAATCCATGATGGGAGTCAAACCCACTTTGAACAGGTAACCTAATGTAGGCATTTGTGACTCTCCACAGCTTCCAGCCTTTTTGTTGCCATCAGCAAGAAATGCATGTGCCTTTATGACCTAAATGCAACTCCATCTATTTGCTCAAACATGTCAATTAGGTTTTATTGCTGCTTTTTTTGCTTCCCTTGCCTTCAATATAACTTGCCTCAATCCATTAAACCAAAAGTTTGCTTTGTCCTGGGTATGATGATAGACTACATCTGACAGCAAGGCCTTTGAACAGAAGGTTTTGAAGAGTGTGGAACCACCTCTTAATTGCTGGTGTTCCAGGTCCACTCTGACCTGGGATGGTAGCACCTGTCAAGGTCCCAGCTATGGCCAAATAGTTAATCCCCAAAAGGGGTCAAAGCACTATGAAAGTATAAAAAATAGGTTTTGATACCAGCAACACATTTTTTTTTTTTAAATATTACCAGCAATACATTTTTTTTTTTTTTTTTTTTCAATATTACCAGCAATACATCTTTTTAAAAAAATATTACCAGCAATAAAAAAAATCTTTGTCGGCATTAAATAACCAATTGAGGTTGATATGTCAATAAAACAAATCAAACCAAGGATTTGCTTGCTTGACCCATCAAATGGGATGATGGTAGTAAGGTTCCTAGGTTGTAGGTTTTCTATTGGGGTTTCCTTCTTCTAGGCAGACATCTAAGTCAACTGAAGAGATCTGCTTCTGACTCTTAAAAAGTGTAACTGGCAATAATGCTGGCTGAAACTGATTATACACTGATCGAAGTACTTCATGCAAAACTGTAATATTATCAGATATCTTTTGGTTCTAATTTAATGAAAGGTCTAATCACAGAATTCTACATAGTTTTAAAGACTGCTCCTTCTGGCGGCAAATATGGTAATTTAACAGCATCTAAAAATGTCTAATTCTATATTTTTTAGGGAATATCTTTTGATGGGTAAATGCACTGAATGATAGAGACCCTTTCATTTTAATTTTTTTTTTTTTTAAATATTCAAGCTTAAAAAAAAAAAATAATTTTCTACATTTATTAAACATTAAATATATTGAGAAAGTAACTTTCTCCATGTGTGTTCTTTCATATTGGCTCCTTATGGGTTTGGAAATTAATATTTTATGCTCTTAGATAAAGTATGATTATCTGGATCAAAGAATAGATAATCAGGTTTTAATTCTGTCTACTGGTTTGATCTTTTCTTTTTTTAATAAGAAAATTTATTTATTTATTTATTTACACTATTTACATTGTTCGGACTGTTGTCCTCATCTTTGTTATCATATTCACAACATTTCAGCTATTGTATGCTCTGATCTTCTTCAGGAAATTGGAATTTCAAACTGGACTCTTTATTTAAGAGTTGTGAGTTCAATACCTTTACAGCAGAGGGTGAACAAAAACTTGGAGAGTTGAGTTAAAAGGGAGATAACTGATACTGAGATGTCCGGAAGAGGCATGGAAGTGTTGTGCATATTACAGCAAATTTAAGGACAACAGTCCAAACAATTTAAATAGTGTAAATAAAAAAATAATATCTCATCTCAGAAATATAGACAGATATTTATTTTATTAATGTGGGGATGGCATGAATTAAAATATCTCTGTTCAATAAAAATCAATGTTGTTTTGTTCCTTTTGTAAATTATTTCATGTTTTTGTTTTTAAATTACAGTTGATGTCAACAATGGTTTATTGTATTGAAATGGATCGTATTTTTTCAAAATAATTGTATTTCTGTCAGTTTTGTTCATATTGAGTGTTTGGTACATTAAATTTTTTTTTTCTTTGCAAATGTTTAGTGTGGTGAAAATGGTTCTCTCCCAAGTCAATGTTACTGGAGATTAGTTGGGGTGAGACATATCCGGATGAGAAACCAATCATTAATCTGAACACCTTCTACAACAACCACCTGTGAGTAATACTTTCAATACTCCCCTTCTTTTACTTGTGATTGGCACTAACATAACTAGGAACCTTTTTTTTATTTTTTTATGGGGACCTTTATCCATTTCCAATTAATATTTAGCACTCTGCATCATTTATAAATATTACTTCCTCTTTTACTGTATATGGAATCCCTCAAAATATAGTGTTTTATATATATTGGTTCTATATATTTGAAATTGCAGTAGCCTGTCTTTCAATTTCAGTCAAGATTATTTAATTATTGTTATAGAAGGATATGACTACACAACCAAGGAATTCAAATTCAACTTGCTTTGGCAGGACTAACATTTTGTTTGGTGAAAATAGTCACCAACAAAGTGCTAAAGGTTAACCTTTTTCATTTTTTTAGATAAATCAAACTACTATATATATATATATATATATATATATATATATATATATATATGGGGACAAATACTTGTACACATACAAATTTTTAATTTACTGTATTTCCAACTAGTAAGTAAACATACTTTTCATATAATTAACTGTACACAATACATGAGTAAATATGCTTAGAAAATAGAAAAATAATTGATTTAATAGAAATAAATCCCATTTCTCCATTTTAATGGGTGAAAAAAATTTCATACATGATACAAAAAAAAAAATACATAATCTTCATTTAATACTTTGTACTTTCTTCCATATATGATGTCTAGAATTACGTCCAAACAACTCAGTTTTTTTTTTTGTCTGTCCATAATACTCTTTCCCAATACAATTTTTCCTTATCCTTATGTTCATGAATGAATTTCAACCTGGCATCTCTGTGTCTTTTCAATAACAGTGGAGTTTTCTGAGGAGAGAGTGACTTTAGATTGTTCCACTAAATTTCATTGCTTATTGTCCGTTTAGTGACACAGATTCCTGATGAAAACAAATCATCCTGCAACTCTTGACAAGTAACCATTGGATTTTGTTTTGACACATTAGTTTCCTCAAAGATCTTGAAGAAATTTTTTCTGTGGGCACCTGTTCTTTGGTTTTCAACAGTTTTGAGTTTTTTATACCTTGTAATGAATGGCGTAATGGTAGTAAATGGAATATTCAGGTTGTCTGAGATTTTCCAGTAACTTTTACCTTCTTTCTAGAGCTTAACAATAAGTTCTTTTTGCGAATTTGTCAATTCTTTACCTCTTGTCATGATGATAACCTTCTTGCATGAATATCAATTACAAAATGTTCTGTTTGTATTTTTTTTTTTTTTTTAGACTAAAAATTACTAATGATAATGTAATTGGAACATTCTAGAATATTCTACTTGAATATTCCACAGTATTAAAGCAATTTAAAAGTTTTAAAATCTGAAATTTGCATCATACGAATACCTTTTTTCACCCATTAAAATGGGTAAATAGGATTTATTTCTATTAAATCAAAATTTTTTTTCTGTTTTCTATACATATTCAGTTATTATGCATATATATCTGTGCACAGTTAATTATATAAAAAGTATGTTTATTCATTAGTTGGAAATACAATAAATTAAAAATTTGTGTGTGTACGAATATTTGTTTCCTCCCACTATATATATATATATATATATATATATATATATATATATATATATATGAGTGTGTGTGTGGTACTTATTGGAATGTGCTCAATATCAGTGATAGAGCTAACATTTTGTTGTATGGGTATGAATTTGCGACTTGTGATCATCAGACAAACTGGTTTATTTTTCGAAAATTGAATCTTTATGCTTGTTTGTGTTTAATTATGTTTAGTGAGGGGGGTAATTATCCTTTGTTTCCCTTTTTGGATGACACTCTTATACACACAGACATACCAGCATACAGGTGTACATATTATAGTTCACACAAACACACCTGTATAAACAATTCAAGATTAGACACAGATACATATTCATGCATTCAAGTATACATATATATGCAACTGTAATCTTATTTTGCTGTTGGGGCTGTATGTAGTGAAGTTCTTTCAACAATGGGCAGGATGGGGTGTTCTTGGTTCTTTTCATATTGGCCGTCTGTGTCATCAAACAATTTAACACTTCTGTCACACACACATACACACATGTAGATGTGCACATACACTCCTATTTGTCTGGGCCTTACATCACCACATTGGTTAAGTGGGTTATGTTTGTGGATATGGTGATGATGATGTATTGAATGGTGTTTAATGATTTTCGTTGTGTGTGTGCATATATATATATATATATATATATATATATATATATATATATAAAAATATATATTTTTTATATTCATTAAACACCATATTTCTGCAGTAACTCTTGGAAAACATAGAAAGTTCATAATACATTATAGAAAATGGAAAACTGCAAACCTCATAATCACAAACCAAAATAACGTCATCAAATCTAAACTAGCAGTGACCAATATAGTTTACCAATTCCATTGCTCCGTACAAGACTGTTACTTGTCAAAACCAATGACCTATACAGGACACACTACTATCTCACTGAGTAGACATCTTACATGCCACCTCTCACAGCAGAGTGTGATAAATAAACATTTATGAACCCATAACTTCTAAGAACCTTTAAGGAAAATTCTAGATGATAATCCAAGGACCCTTTTCAAGTCACATAATTGTACACAACTCATCATTAGGGAGATCTGCTTATTAAACTTATTCTCACACTATCAATCTCACTATTTAGCAGAGGAGACAGTGTGTTAAAAGTGTTCTAAAAATAGTAGTCTTGCCTCAGTCAACTGGCCACACAGCACACAACCATGGAGAAGCACACAAACTGCTCAAACTTCACACAGTAAAATTACTATGTAGCAGCCACATACAGAATTTCACCTTCCAAAACAACATCCTTGATAATGGCTATAGAAGTATCCGAAAGTGCTCAGAACAATTATATCTATGGACAATTCCTATATTCTTTAATCCTTGAAAAACAGAAAAATATTAGATTGCTGGAAAAACTCAATAAAAGATTAATTAAATGTTTCTTGTCAGCTGTTATTAATGAAAGATATGTACTAGCTTAAACCCCACCCTATTGGGCAGCATTTAACCCTTACCCTCCTAAATTCTTTCTAGAATTGTTCCCCCTGCCACTGCATTTTTTTTTTTTTGAGGGTGCAAAAACATGAGCATCTACTGTTTTAAAATTGTTATAGCTTTCTTTGTATTGTGTGTATATATTTCATTTTTTATGGATTAATAAAAGAATGGATGAGTAATATTTTGATGTAATGCATTACATTTTGCATGTTTGTTTTGATATTGGAAACAGAAAAAAAAAAAAAATACATTAACAATTTACCATACTTTAACTTTTATTACTTCTTGTAGAGTTCTAGGGGTGCAATAAGAAGCAAAATGTCTAAGAAGGCTTTCATTTTGTCAAAAAAGTGACATGCTTTCTTGTGTTTACAATTCAAGAAGTCACCAGCATTTGTTTGGTCTGTTTTTCACCTGACTAGCATATTTATTTGCCTCATTGATAAATAAAGTTATTATTTCATTGGCAAAATAATTCACCTTCAGAAATTAGATGTCAGATACATCCATGTTTTTTAGCTTCCATAAAATTACTCAAAATGGATGATGGTAGCCACAAACATTTGTGGTCATTGTTTTTCTCTTTTTTAGTGATGCATGGTTATCATCTTCGGTCATTTCCCCATCAATATCCACCTGAATGAAGCCTTCAAAATCATCAGGGTTTGAATGAAAGAAAAACTCTTGAATAAAGGCTTTGTTGGATGTTGATGCGGCCATTTTTGTTTGCAAAAAATCGTGGAAGAATTAACATGGGTTTAATCTATTTTACACCATGTGTAGAATCTAGAAGAATTCAAAATGGCATTGGAAAATTGAAGTTTAGCATCGTTCCAAAGCAGTAGTAGGCGATTTCCAGTTTAAAATACCAGAAATAACAGTTTAAAATGTTTATTTATAACAACTGTCTGAAGACAACAGAATGTGCTTACGGCAGCAAAGGGAGATAATTCTATGGTGACAATTTTTACCTCCAGCATGCTAAAGCATTAAGGTAGCTCCTGCAGTGAGCTCTTGATTGGGCCTTCATCACAATAGGTAGGGAGGAGTAGATGTCATAGGCAACAATAAACTACAGAAGAATTCAAAAAATGATTGCTACATTTAAGTATTTCATTAATATTTAAACTTATCTTTCAAAAGTTCAATGTTAACTCTTGTAGCGCTACTTAATTTAAAGACAATTTGATGTATGTAGGTCCTTACTTTCTATACAAACAATGATTTTTATTTCATGGGTGACTTTTTCTGGATTTCACAATTTATTTCAATTATTCCCAAATTTATTCCCAAGTTATAAAAATTGTTATAGTGCAAAAAAATCATGTCAAGAAATTGCTGAAAACAACTGCAGTAAACTTGGGAAACCAAAATTTCAGGATCTGGCCCAGAATGCTCTTAATTTGCTTACAGAATCAGTCTTGATTCCAAAAATGGTATGATATGTTGGGCTATGGCCTCTAGGAATAAAGTTGAAAACACCGACAATTTTATTTTGAAACACTGTAGTTTGAGAATAGTAATTTTTTTCATTTGAACATGAGCTATTGAAAATTAGAGAGTTTTTCCCCTTTAATTGTTTTTATTAGTAGAAGCCAAGATAGCAAAATCCGAAAACAATCACAATAATGAAAACTTGAGAGTCCAAAATTTCAAGATTGCTGGTCTAGATCCGGTCTGGAATGTTTTTAATTTGCTCATGGAGTTGGCCTGATTCCAAAATGGTATGATATGTTGAGCTGTGACCTCTAGGAGTTAAGTTGAAAAATTTGTGATTTTCATTTATTTTTTATATATATTATATTTATATATATATATATATATATATATATATATATATATATATAATTACATGTAAAAAAAAAAAAACCAGGTATGCCCAATATTCTATCCTATATCAACACACATCTTAAGAAATAAAGAAACATACATTATTCCTCTACTGAGACAAGAGCCGAAAATGGAAAAATCACTCAAAGCACATAAAATAATCCAAAGCTATAGGCAACCAAATTCCCTGAAAAAAAACAAAAAAAAACTACTCACCATTGCCAAATTACCTGACACCAATAAGCTTGTGATACTTGATACTGAATTTTTCTTGAGATCATTTTTATTGCTTTGACATCATGTATTCAGTCATGACTCCAATGACTCTTAACAACTGTAATCTCTTAAGGACTCAAAGGGTTAACAACCTTAAACATATTCTCTTTTTACAACATTTGTTTCTCAATTTTTGTCCCATCGCTCTCTCTTAAAATGTCTCTCATTATTATCTGTCTATATTTCTGAGATGAGGTATTATGTACACTATTTACATTATTCGAACTATTGTTCTTATCTTTGTCACCATATTTATTACAACGTTTCAGCCGTTGTACGCTCCAGCCTTCTTCAGGTGGTTGGAATGTTGAACTGAACCCTTTATTTCACTCACTGGTGTAGACTGTTCTAGTTCCATGTGCCATGTTTTTAATGGATGTCAGTTGTCAGTTATCTCTTGTTAATTCACCTCTCCAAGTTCTCCACTGCCTTAACCGGGTATTGAACTCACACTCTTTGGGGTCTGTTGAAATAAAGGGTTCAGTTCAATATTCCAACCACCTGAAGAAGGCCAGAGCATACAATGGCTGAAACGTTGTAATAAATATGGCGACAAAGATGAGGACAATAGTTCGAATAAGGTAAATAGTGTCTCTCATTATTTGCTTTTTTTATAAATAAGTTGGTATATATTATACGTTGTGGCCAACTTCTTTCTGATTAGTTCATAGCTATTGAAGTTAACTTTTCACTTCAGTCATTGTTTCTTTTTCAGAGATAAACAGTGCAAGGATTTTCTTTGTCAACAAATATCAGAAAAGGTATGTATCAACACTAAAAAGAAAAAAAAAAAAACCTTGTCAGTTTTGTTTTTAATTGCTTTTAATTGCTTAGCTGAAGGTTGCTTTTGTTTTGTTTAGAAAAAAAAAAAGAATAGTTTTAATTTCATCTTTGAAATCTACATTCAAAAGTTTTCATTTCTTTCAAAAATGATTTTTTTTACTATGCTCAATATTTGGCATAGTTTGTCCATTGTATACAGACAGAACCATTGTAGACAGTGCATACTCCCCCCTGCCCTGACTGGGTGGGGAAGATAATATGATTGGGGGCTCCAAAGGTGGTTTTATAACCCTCATCTTACCAATTTTTGCTTTTTACTACCTACATTTATATACAGAATGCAATGGGTAATAGTTGCCATTTTATATTTTTTATTTCATGTATGTGTGTCGTTTGTTTTTGATTTTGTTTACTGCACAGTATAGTAAGGTCAGTTGGGCACCGTTTGTGAGAAAACGAGCACCATAAAGCTATTCACTCTGCTATAAATTTGGAAATGGTATGCTGTACTGCTTGGCATGCACACCAGAAAGGCTCCAATTTGAAGATTTCAGAGTGTTTGAGTGTCAAGAGGAGGAGGAGGACAGTGCAGAGGATTTGGAAAGAGTTGGAGAAGTTTAGTGGGGATTATGAAGGTACAGCAGCTCTGAAAACTCACTCTGATCATTCTGATAAGAAAAGGACTCCAAAATTTGTTGGTGAAGACCTCAGACTCAACACAGTGGCCTACATCAAGTGCCTTGAGGAGGTAGTGCTGTCCTGGGTCAAGAGGGTTGCTGCTGGAAGTTCCTATGTCTGGCAACAGGAATCTGCACCATGCCACACAAGCAGGAGGAACCAGTCATGGGTGCCAGCTAATTACTTGATCATATCACCTCTTACATATGACTACCTAACTCCCCAGACTGCAACTTCCTTGATTATTATGTGTGGGGTGGAGTTGAATGAGAGACCAACAAAACTTCATGTAACACCAAAGATGAACTGAAGTCAAGCAGACTGTCCAAAAGAGTTGTAGAAGATTCCAGAGTCATCTGGAGGCCATAGTTGAAGCTAATGGTGATTTTATTGAATAAATTTACTCTTTAGTAATTCAAGATATTTTTGTGTAATTTTGGTAAATATATCTGTTAAAATGTCAGTGTTATTTTCATTTTGTGTAATCTAGTTGACAATTTATCCATTGCACTTTGTAAATTACAAATTAAACTAAGCGCAACTGACTATTAAAGGATGAAAAGTTTTTGCAGATTTTGACATCATTCTGGGGTCGATTTTGTTTTTCCAAATCCGTGAATTTTTTTGCTCATGCTAAGTCTTGAAAAAATACTCTATAAAATTCACTATTTTTTATCCATGATGTTGAATGTGTTAAAATTATTCAACTTTTTAACAAGAAAAATTTCATGTTGATGTTAAAAATTGCTACAAAATATTGTTGATTTATTTAAGATAGAATTATATCTATGGATCTATTATGACATGTCTCTAATTTGTATTTAGATAGATTGTATTTATTTTCAATTTTTCTAGTTGAATTGTTCACCTATATTGGATATGATCCATTATTGTACATAGAGTAAATTTCAATAAAATTTGTATTTTATATGAATACTACCTTATAAAAATTGAAATCTAGTAGAGTGGGGGGGGTCTTTCACTGTCCCTGATTGGACATATCTTCAGATGCACATAGACACACAGGTCTTGTATTTTTGTATGATTTTAAAATGTTTATGGAATGCAATCTACCAAATATCGTCCGGTTCCTTGTGAGTCCAAAAATTTCACTAGATCTATGTTTCTTTTCAAAATGCTTTTAATGATTGTTTTTTTTTTTTCTATTTTAAATATTTTGATGAGAACTCTTTTTTTTTTTAAATTTCCGAAACCTGTCTACCAAAGTTAAACTAAATCTGCAATAAACTTCCAATTTATTTTTTATATTTTCCCTATTTTTCACTATTTACATCAAAATTCGATTTTAGAAGAAAATTGACTGACTTTGATACAATTTAAAAAAAAAAAAAAAAACAAATCCCAAATTACTCTGAACTATATTTTCATTGTTTTTATTAAATCAGTTAATTTTTTGTTTGCTTATCTAAAACACTATTTTGCCATATAATCTGATAAACACGGTGTGACCTTGTAACTTAGGCAATTGTGTATTTCCCTGCTTGGGATCATTGATTGATCCTTGGTGAAAATGTTGATTTGTAACAGAGAAACTACCCCTACTACTCCAATATTGACACAGTCGTACTGTCTATACTCCTGCCTGACTTGGTGCCATGCTAAGTTATAATAAAAAGGATTTTAAGCATGCAAAAGCTCTTTTTTCTAAAATGGAAACACATTTCCAAATCTAGAATCATTTTGCTTTGCACTTCATTTAACAAGTTGTGTGAGAATCTAAAATGGTAAATGTTAAAATGGGACTTTGAATCAGAACAGCCTCAAATATTTCACAGAACACTGATGGCAACTTGTACGGGCAGTGTTTTGTCATTTTGACAAAGCACTCTGTGTTTAATCATCAGTGTGAAATCTAAAATGGAAAATGTTAAAATAAGCTTCCATTCAGAAATACATTTTCAAATAGACATTCAAATGATTAATAAAAAAAGAGAAATATACTATGAGACTAAAAATTCCATTACCCGATTCCTAGTTATAAAGAAAGCATTTTGAAAGTCTTTTTGAAAATGTGGTTAGATATATTGAGTCATGTATTCAGTATCAAAAACCTTTTATGACTGTGTGAGTTGGATAAAAGGTATAGTTTATAGAATTTTAAAAAAATATCTTTTTTTTTTTCTTTTTTTTTTGTTGGTGGAGTGGGAAAAAATCCTGAGCATGAAACATGTTAAACATAAAGAGAAACAAATTGTCTTCCACAAGATCTGTGGACATCTTCATTGTCTAACTAATTACACTTGTTCCTATTGCAAATCCTAACGGACACAATCTCAACCATTAAAGAGACACCAGCAGCTTTTGTACAATGGCCAGCTGCGTTTCTCTTTTAGGTTTGGCCTAAAGATTCAAGCAGTTTCCCCCTCACAAACAAACCCAACAGTCTGCTTGAAAGAACTGGAAATATAACTTGTCTGACCAGGTGGTTTTGTATCAGTCTAATACAGTCCAATGGTCACTTGTTACTGCACCACACCTCAGTCAGAGAAAATGCCATATCAATAAAGGTGCACTGGATGGTCAATGACCAAGACCATAGACAGAATGTGGTGTAGTTGTAATGACTTGAATGGAACCAGTGCTAAATTAGGATGGGAATTTTTTTTTTTTAACATATCACTCTGAGCAAGGCAATAAAGCTACTAAGATGCAAGGGGTTACTGATTGTGAGAGAATATGAGAAAAAGGAAACATTATTAAAATAACAATAAAAAGAACAGGGATTAAGACTAAAAATAATGTTTGGCATTGCTGTGACAAAAGACACGTGATGACAAAAAGAAATATGGCCGCTATTGAAGTCACAATTTATGCGTGCCGATCTCGTCCAAAACAAGACGATATTTGCATACATGCAAATTTTGGCCGTATTGGAATAGCATAAAAAGCAGAGTGCCAGCAGCATGACAGAACCAAAGTCATTTGGTGGACTGCGTGCAATAGAGCTGGACATACGGATTGACAGACGGAAGTCGAAGTAGGTGCGGCTGAGCTGGTGCCTGTTTCACAACTGCCCAGTGTAACAGCTGAGAAAGGGAGTCATGCAATCCATTACCTTGAGGTGACTGAAGGAGGAGAAAAAATAGCTGGCCTGCCAGCGAGCACCGCACTGCATTAACCCGATCACCATTTTTCTCTACAATTGCATTTAAATTTTTGAAGATCGAGACATTGTTATTCTTCCATGAATTGTTGCCATCCTTGTTATCTACTGGCAATCCAGTTCTTGTATCACATGCTGGTGGCCACAATTTTCTTCAATGGTTGGTATCTGTCTAGAATTCACTTATTCCTCTTAGGCTTTTGCTAATGTTACTTGAGAGGAAAAAAAAACCAAAAACAAGAACCAATATCATCTTGGAGATCTTTGTTCATCTTTTCTGGCTCCATCATTAATTTTGTTATTAGTATTAAATCTTATCTGCATTACACAACTATCACAGCTACATTGTCACAGTCAAACATCGTTAAGCTGAGTCACTTTCTACAAATGATAGTGGGATGAAACCATCTGGTGTATGGCTGTTTGTAATTTTTGAGCACTTTAATATGTCAAAAATAAAGAGACAGACAAACAATATATAAATCATAAAATTACTCTCCTTTTTGTATCATGTTGAAACACTGGTTCTCGTAAAAATCAACGATGTTAAGCAATGTTGAGGCTGATCAGTACCTAGATGGGTAACCATTGGGGAATGCCAGGTGCTGTATGCTTGGATATGTGGGTGATGTAATGGATAATGGCTCAGAATTGAAAATCGGTGTTATACTGGAACACACCTATTCTATTGTTAATAGACTCTCCCACCTATAATAAGTAGGAGTAGTAGCAGTCGCTCAGGGGGTTGGTCAGTCAGTCGATGTCAGACGGCCATTAGTCAGATACTAAAAGTATCAGCGACCACCACTAGATTTCTCTGCATTATTACCGATTATATCAAGTTCCTAACGTTTTGTACGTCGATCCTATTTTAGGACCGACTTGGTACAAATACAAGCCTCCACTGTGAAACCACTCTACAACAATCAGAGAGATAAGTTCCAATTCCAGTCAGGTTAATTCTATTCACTTATGCGCACATACACTTGGGAAAGGTGTGAATCCACCTCTTCTCCCCTCAGCTATGGGTTAATTAGTAGGACTTGTATCAGTAAATCATTATTAACTGCAAAAGTTTCTTACAATCTAAAAATATTCTCTGGCTTTAAATAACCTGCAAGAGGTTGATAGGCAGTAAAAAAAATAAATCAATCCGTATCCAATCTATTTGTATTCATTTTTCAAAGTAGCAAAGAAGAGTTCTTCAGTGAAGTCCTAACTTCGCAAAATGAAACGTTTGTTCCCTCCTCCCATGTTATGGTCAACTGTTTTTGTGTACTTAGTTGGTGCTCTCTAAATGTGCATCTATTAGGATTTCAATGTATTCTGTTAAGATAGAAGTCATGGTTCAAATTCAAAATAAATAACACAACTGTTCAAGGAACAGAATTAATAATATTTGCAATAGGAAGAAAGAGGGGCAAAAATTAAATGGTATCAATCAAGCAAGCAAAAAATATAAATAAAGTAAATTCACAGGTAAGAAAGAGATTTATGAACCATGAATTAGTGTCTATGCAGAAAAGCTAAGTTGGTCAAGTGAACCCAATGCTGATGATCTATATAGACAAGGCAGATCTAGACTGAGGTTATTTCCCTCACCTCCCCACAAAGCATGATGTGGCATAAGGCTGTTTTTTTATGGGGTGGTAAATCCAAGCCCATGGGCTTGGGCAAAAATTCCCTGTAGACCCCGCATACATGGAGTCTGGCTAGTCTACCTCCTCAGATACAACTCTGCCCTTTGGCATAGCTGAAGGCAGAGAGTTCAGCAAGTCTGAACTGCCTGAAATGGCAGATCTGGACTGAGTCAAGTCAAATTGTAAATGAACCTATTTTATTGACTAAGAAAAGTATCCCAGCATGCATTTTGTGGACTTTTGCCTATAAAAGGGGAGGGCCAAAACTAGTCATTCTTACACAAACATCAAGATGTGTAATTTTTTTTTTTTTTTTTTTGTAGGCTGAAGAGATGTTGGGCTGTGCAATGACTTACACATTATTTGAGTGGGCCAAAGAGAACATGGAAACCCTCTTGGCTGATCAACAGATTTCTGTGACAAACACACTTCTTCCAGTGATAAATGAAGTAAGTATCTATTTTTGCTGTTAAAACCTTCTCATTCTTTGCAGATAGACATCCTCATCTTTACTTTTTTGTTTTGTTGTCAATCCCATTTCAGGACTGACTTCATTAGAATGGTTGTATAGCAAGGGAGACAATTTAAAAAAAAAAAATGACCTTCAGTTTCATACAAAACTGGTCATCTAGTAGGGAAGATAATTGACTAAAAATCATTCTTATAGATTAAATTTAGAATGCTAATTTTCATGGCAAGAAAACCATTTTCATTTGGGAGATTGGTGCTACACAATCTTTCCTGTTATGTCATACTAAGTTAAGCTTAGTCATAACTTACGTTGTGTCCATGTAACCAAACCTGTTTTGATATTAGGTTTTCATGAACTTCAGTCTTTCTTTTACTTTGCAATGTATTTGGTTTTTGTCTGATGCTGAGCTACTGCATCTTGAGAAAGAAACAAATTGGAATGCAGCATACAGACAGATTTTGGTGTGTTATTTTATTGGCAAACCAACCCCCCAAAGGTCATTTCATGATAAATTGGGTAATTTTAAGATTTGTGTTTATTTTACAGACAAATTCTTTTATAAGGTGTTATTATATAAGGGTGTAGATGTGATTTGATTTTAGTTATATTTTATAGCCTGGTGTTTATTCGGTTTTCATTTTATATTTTGGGGTAGAGTTTTGTTACTTTTAAGAATTCTAATATGTCTTTGGGTTCGACACTCTCAAAAAGGGGACCTAAACTTTGGTATATTGTAGAAGTATTTTTGTATAGGTGCCAGTTTTTTTGTAGTTAATAAAAAATGTTTGACAATGAGTACTTTGTGGCAGTTTGGGTATTTTGGAGGTCTTCATTTTTTTAGGAGGAAGGAGTAGGTTATGTGGATGTGTCTTGTAATTGTGACATTATCTTTTTTTCAGTGTCTGGTACTGTGATGTTGTACAGTTGAATAGTTCTCTCTATCTTTTCATCTTGTCTCTTTCTCTCTATCTTTTCATCTTGTCTCTTTCTCTCTATCTGTTCATCTTGTCTCTTTCTCTCTATCTTTTCATCTTGTCTCTTTCTCTCTATCTTTTCATCTTGTCTCTTTCTCTCTATCTTTTCATCTTGTCTCTTTCTCTCTATCTGTTCATCTTGTCTCTTTCTCTCTATCTTTTCATCTTGTCTCTTTTCTCTCTATCTTTTCATCTTGTCTCTTTCTCTCTATCTGTTCATCTTCTCTTTCTTTCTCTCTATCTGTTTCATCTTGTCTCTTTCTCTCTATCTGTTCATCTTGTCTCTTTCTCTCTTTCTGTTCATTTCATCTTGTCTTTTCTCTCTATCTGTTCATCTTTCATCTTTCTCTCTATCTTTTCATCTTTTAGCTTTCTCTCTATCTTTTCATCTTTCGCTTTCTCTCTATCTTTTCATCTTTCGCTTTCTCTCTATCTTTTCATCTTTCGCTTTCTCTCTATCTTTTCATCTTTCGCTTTCTCTCTATCTTTTCATCTTTCGCTTTCTCTCTATCTTTTCATCTTTCGCTTTCTCTCTTCATCTTTTTTCATCTTTCATCTTTCTCTTTCTCTCTATCTTTTCATCTTGTCGCTTTCTCTCTATCTTTTCATCTTGTCGCTTTCTCTCTATCTTTTCATCTTTCGCTTTCTCTCTATCTTTTCATCTTTTCGCTTTCTCTCTATCTTTTCATCTTTTATTTTCTCTCTATCTTTTCATCTTTCGCTTTCTCTCTATCTTTTCATCTTTCGCTTTCTCTCTATCTGTTCATCTTGTCTCTTTCTCTCTATCTGTTCATCTTGTCTTTTTCTCTCTATCTGTTCATCTTGTCTCTTTCTCTCTATCTGTTCATCTTGTCTCTTTCTCTCTATCTGTTCATCTTGTCTCTTTCTCTCTATCTGTTCATCTTGTCTCTTTCTCTCTATCTGTTCATCTTGTCTCTTTCTCTCTATCTGTTCATCTTGTCGCTTTCTCTCTATCTGTTCATCTTGTCGCTTTCTCTCTATCTGTTCATCTTGTCGCTTTCTCTCTATCTGTTCATCTTGTCGCTTTCTCTCTATCTGTTCATCTTGTCGCTTTCTCTCTATCTGTTCATCTTGTCGCTTTCTCTCTATCTGTTCATCTTGTCGCTTTCTCTCTATCTGTTCATCTTGTCGCTTTCTCTCTATCTTTTCGTCTTGTCTTTCTCTCTCTCTCTCTCTATGTTTTCGTCTTTCTCTCTCTCTCTCTCTGTTTTCGTCTTTCTCTCTCTCTCTCTATGTTTTCGTCTTTCTCTCTCTCTCTCTCTCTCTTTTCTCTATTTTCTCTCTCTCTCTTTTCTTTTCTCTCTTTCTTTTCTCTCTCTATCTTTCATCTTGTCTTTCTCTCTCTCTATCTTTTCATCTTGTCTCTCTCTCCATCTTTTCATCTTGTCTCTCTCTCTCTCTCTCTCCATCTTTTCATCTTGTCTCTCTCTCTCCATCTTTTCATCTTGTCTCTCTCTCTCTATCTTTTCATCTTGTCTCTCTCTCTCTATCTTTTCATCTTGTCTTTCTCTCTCTCTCTATCTTTTCATCTTGTCTTTCTCTCTCTCTCTATCTTTTCATCTTGTCTCTCTCTCTCTCTATCTTTTCATCTTGTCTTCTCTCTCTCTCTCTCTCTCTTCATCTTGTCTTTCTTTCTTACCTTTGCAGCCAGAAGAAGTAAAGAATGAGAGAAGCAAAGATGAAAAGCGTTCAGAATCAAAGAAGAAGAAAGAGCAACTGACAAAAAACCAGAAGAAAAAATTGTTTGACAGAGTTGGGAACAGAGGAGAGGTTGTCCGGGGTGCAAACTGGGTGGATGTCATCAAGCACCTTTCTCAAACAGGGAGTAAACTAGAAACTGGATAATGAATTAGGAAAATAGAAATTATCGTTATTAATAAATAAATAAATGCCTCATTTGTGCTGATGTCTTTATTTATTGAAACAAAGAAACCAACAAATGCATTGCTATTCCTGTGAATTCAGGTCTCATCCAAATAAGAATGTAGTTATTGTCATATTTTCTTAGTTATTTCATCTTTGTAGGAGCAAGAGAGATAACAAGACACAGGCAGATGATTAAACAATATGGCCAGCCATGTCATCCTTTATTTATCTCCTTTTACAAGAGGATGTTTAGTTTGTGTGGGTTATTTCCCTTGGCTCTTCACTGCCAATCATGTTATGACATCCCCCCTTTGTGAATATTGTTTTTTCTTTTTTTTTATGTCTTTATATTTGTGTGTATGTATATTACTATTTATATTACGAAGGTGTGGTGTATTCTAGTTCTTGTATTTCTCTGGAATTTTAGTGACTTTTCCTGATTTTGTTGTGTAGCTCTGCAACTGGTATTGTTTCTATACTGTTGGTGATATTTCTCTTAGTGTGGTTGGCTATTCTGTGGGATTTTCTTCTGGTATGTTTGATTCTTTGTTTGCAGTTGACATTGTTATAGCCTCTCTTTCTTGTGTAATGTCTGTGTATAGTGGTGGAGATGCTGTTTCCTGTCTTGGTATGCTGGTTATATTTGTGGTAGGCCTTGGTTTGAGGTGTTCCCTTCTTCTTTGGTATACCTTACCTCTGACGTTAATTAGGTATCTTCTTGGTTCCATGGTTGGTTTAGGTCTATTGAGGGCAGTTCCAGGTATCGCGTAGTGTGTCCCTTGCATAGATCGGCTCCATGATGTCCAGTATTTCTTTTTCCTGGCTGGAATGCCTGTTATAGTTCTGTTTCTGCTTGGTTTGGTTTTGTTCATTTTCTTGAATGTGTGTCTCCTTTTCAGGGTGGCATGATTGTAGGGCCCCCGTTTTGAGTTTTTTACCAAATAGTAATTCATATACGGATGGCATGTTGTTATTTATTGGGGTAGTCCTGTACATCCATAATGCTGTGTATGGGCACTTTTTTTTCCCCCCACATAGGCTTTCCTCCAGAGGGCCTTCATTGTTCCTACTGTTCTTTCTGCTACTCCATTTGTTGATTGGTGGGATGGTGAGCTGGTTTTTAGGGTTATGTTCAAGTTGTGGCATTCCCTCTTAAACCTTTCACTCATGAAATGTGACCCGCAGTCGGCTATGATAGTTGTGGGTAACCCATATTCTGTTAGAATTTGGGTGTACTGCTTGCAGACAGTATCAGCTGATGTGTCTGGAAGTGCTTTGATGATTGGGAATCTCGAGTAATAGTCTACCACCAGGAGGTATTTGTATCCATCTTGCTCATAGATGTCGATGCCTATAATGTCGCCCAAGGGAGTGTAGGGAGGTCTGGATGCATCAGTTGTAGTTTGGGCTGTGCTGGTTTGTATTTGATGCATATGCTACATGCTTTTACCATGTTCCTGATGATTTCTGTTTATCTCTGGTCAGAATATAAACTCCCTAGCTAGTAGAAAGCATTTTGTTTCTCCCTGGTGGCCTGGGTGTAGTACTTCAACTGTTACTCACTGTTTCTGGGATTACAATTCTGTCCCCCTTGAGGACTGTCTTCTAGGATGAGGCCATGATTGCCTCTCTTACCTGATCTGTGTTTATTAGTTTTGTGTTTGTTGTTGTGGTGCATCACTTCTATTTTTGTTGAGGCATACTCTTGACAGGACGTCTGCAGCTGGGATTGTCTTCCCTGCCCTGTACTGGACTTGGATGTCAAATCTTTGGCACTTTAGGATGAAGTGTTGAAGTCTTGATGGAGTCTGCAAGATTTTTCTTAAAAATTTGTTCAAGTCGTGAATGGGTCTGTTTCAACTATTACCTTTTGCCCTAAGAGGAAGTATTCATATTTTTGTAGGCCACATGTGACTGCCAGGCACTCTCTTTCTATGTTGGAGTATCTTTACTCTGTTGGGGTGAGGCACCTTGACACCATTCCTACTATTTTTCAGCACCCATATGGTTCATCTGCCTTATCCATGCCCCTACACCAAGTGTGCTGGCATCACACTGAAGGATTGTTGTCGTGTTGGGGTTTGTATGATAGCTGATTATTTGTGCCCTGTGTAGTTCAGTTTTTATTCCCTTCGGGGCATCTTGATGGTGTTGCTGCCATAGGAAGTGCACATTTTTTTAATCAGTTCTCTGAGTGATGCAGTCATTTGTGACAGTTTTACTGAGAACCTATTGAGGTATGAAATTATACCCAGGAGTGTGTAGAGTTCCTTTGCATTCTTTGGGGATTGTATGTCCTTGATGGCTTGAAGTTTGTCTTCCGTGGGTAATAAACCATGTTCTGTGATTGTGTGGCGAAAGAAGTTTACTCTTTTCTTTTTATACTGGAATTTTTCCGCATTGAACCTAATGTTATTTTTTTTTGCTCTTTCTAAGATTTTGGTCATGGCTATATCATGTTCCTCTTCTGTTGATCCTGTTACCAGGATATCATCCGCTATTCCCGTGACATTTTTGATTTCAGAGAAGACTCTATTCAACTTAAGTTGGAATATGCCCTGGGATACTGTTAAGCCAAATAGTAGACATTTGAATCTGTATCTTCCAAATGGGGTGTTAAAGGTGGAGAGTAGGCTTGATTGAGGGTCTATTTCTTGGTGCCAGAAGTGTGGAAACTACATGTGAGTCTGCATTAAAAAATAAAAACAGCAACAACATTATGAAGTCCGGGGCCAGGAACAACACCAGATATGCATCGATGATGCTGAAGTATTTCTTCCCGTGTAGTAGAAGTAGTAGCTCATCTGGTGCTTTGGTAGGGTACTATTCTCTCTTTATGTTTTTGTTCAGGTCTCTGGGGTCTAAACATGGCCTGATTTTTGGTGTTCAATCCTTGGCTGTGGTTATTTGATATGTGATGGAGTTTACCCAGTCTTTTGGGCCTGTCACTTTCCCTATAATGTCCTCCCTTTCCATTTTTTCCAATTCTCCTTTGTAGATTGGGAGGATGTGTATTGGGACTGATCTAGGTGCGTGTATCACTGGCTTGGGATTTCCTGTCAATTTTATGTGATATTTCTTCCCTGGGGAAACACCCTATCTTGTTGAAACAGGTCTTGTATTTTTCCAGTAGTTCCTTTTTGTTTATCATTTCACGTCCTGTTGTGCTCTGTCTCTTTATTTCATTTAGGCTGACTGAAATAATTCCTAGTTCTTGTGTCTGCCTGCATCCAAGAATAGAAGAGGATTGCCTGGGGGATGTATTCACAATGTCAAATCTTGTTATTGTTTTGTTCTTGTATGTTATTTTGAGGTCACTCACCCCAGTGTTATCCTTGATCCCCCATAACCTTTCAGTATTGTGTTGATCTTTTTTATCTTTGGTTTGAAGGGTAGCAGCCACATTTGATTTTCTGTTAGGATGCATGTGTCTGCACCTGTGTCCACTTTGATTTTTATTTTGTAGCAACTGTTCATGGTAATGTTTACAAATATTTTGTCTGCCTATCTAGAAACTGAGTATATGCTCTTGCTGCTTGAGCTTATTGTCTTGATGCTGCTTGATGCTTGTTCTGAATCATCTCCATCTGAGAAATGCTTGTATATCTGGTATTCTTCCTGGCCTCGGACTTTGTGATGTTGCTGTTTTTATTTTTTTAATGCATACTTGCATGTAGTTTCCCACTTCTCTGTAGTACCTGCACTCTGCTGATCTAGCAGGGCATTGATTTCTGCATTGGTGGTTGCTTCTGCATCCATAGCATTTCTTTCCTTTTGCTTCAGGGAGATTTGGCTGTTTGCTACTCCTGTTCTTGTCTGGGTTAGGGTCATACTTTGGGGTTCTGGTGGTTGCTATTTGTCCGAGTCTGCGTTTGACTTTGTTTATCCTGGTTTTGTCCCTGGGGTTTATAGATAGAACCTCTGCCTGTGTTCTGGTGCTCTCATCTATTTTTGCCAGATTGTATATCTGTTCGTAGGTGAGTGTATCCCCTATCTTGATTGCATCTCTGCAGACCTGGTCATACTCTATGCCAAACACCAGTGTATCTCTCATCATTTCTTCCTGTTCCGGGTACCCAGCTTCCTCGACCAGTTGTTTTGCCTTTGTGACAAATTCTTCTTTGTTTCCTTGTTTGAGAACTCTTAGGCCATATCTGATGAGAATCTGTTTAGGGTTTGCAGTAGGCCTCCAGCTTTTTGAAAACCGGGTCAATCCATAGTCTATCCTCAGCATTGTCAAAGGTGGCAGTATTTTAAATTTCTAGCCCCTTGTCAATCCAAAGAAGCAAAAGCCTAATCTTCCTTGCTGCTTCTTTATGGCATAATGGGTCCTCGAAGATCAGTTCGCACTTTTGTTTGAATAGTTTGAATTTTTTGTGAATGTCTCCTAATCTTGTCCAGTCCGTTTTTGAAGGTCTGTCTGCCATCTTCACACCTTGTTATTTGTTAAGTATGTGGAATGCGGTGCAGAGATCCGAAACACAATGGCGGATTATAAGGTAAAGTTTATTTACTCATGATTTTTTGTTTACCTCAGTTACCAATTGCTGATTCTCTAGCGTCCCTGTTCAATCAGTGGTGTTTTAATTCATCCCACATCTGAAACCAATTCATACTTTTTAGTTATTTCATATTTGTGGAAGCGAGAGAGAGATATCAAGATGTAGGCAGATGATTAAACAATATGGCCAGCCATGTCATCCTTTATCTCCTTTTACAAGAGGATGTTTAGTTTGAGTGGGTTATTTCCCTTTTCTCTTTGCTGCCTATCATGTTATGGCAGTTATCTGCCAGACTATTTTGAATATAGAAAACTCAACCTCATACTAATTTTACTGAATTAGTCGAGGGTTTATTTAATCTAGAAAAAAAGATGGTGACTTTAATCAAATGCTAATTAACCAGTAAATGTATAAATTGTGAAAACATAATGAAATTTGCATGTGAAGAGTGTTATGTTAATACTTTACAGGTGACAGATGAAGACCATATTTTTTCTGGTTCCATAGTGTGGCTGGCTGTCTTAAACAAACTGTCACTCCTGAACCATCCAAAAGATGTCTTTTCAGTCCTATTGACAAGCAGCAATTGATCTGTTTCTTGCATAAACACAGCCTATATACTAGCTTGTTAAAAAAAATTACAGCATATGATTGTTGTTGAATTTGAGTTACTTCCTTTTGCAAAGATGAAAACATATTTTATCAAGATTTCGGGTGTGGAATCTTGAAATTTTATTTTTTTCTTTAAATTTTTTAAAGTAATTTTTTGAGACTCAATTATTGGAGGTTGGCTGCAAAAAAAAAACAAACAAAAAAACAATCTCAAAAGAATGTTTTTTTTTTTTTCTCTCTTGACACCTGTTTGCTGTATTACTCCTTCGGTAATTTTTGTTGTTTTAAAAAGCTATTTTTAGAATTCTAATAAAACCCAAACATGAAACTGGGTTTATTTTTTCATTTTTTATTTTTTATTTTTTTGAATCAATAAAAAAGGATTATACACTATTCTTGTATATAAATAGACTAATAAATAGTATTTAACATTTTTGTAGTCAATTCTTGAGAGAAAAAAAAAATAAATCCAGATGCTTGTAACCTACTTTTAGTGAATTTATCTGGAAAATGAAATAAAAGCTCAGAAAATGCATTTTTTTTTTTTTTTTTTTTAACAAATTTATAATTACAGTTGCTCATAGTTTATTTAAATTTTCTTGTTCTCTTGTTACAGACGTTTTCATAAATTTATGAATTAAAAGAATTTGTGTTCAGGTTTATTTCTTTATAATATGGTAAATATTGTACTGTCAGTTATTTTTATAATCTTGTAAATATAAAATTATTCTTGTAAATAATCTAATAAAAATAATTAATTTAATCTTAAATTCTTTTGTTGTCAATTCTAAAGGAAGGGAATGCATAAATTCAAATTATTGCTGAGGGAGTAATCGCAATGTCAAGAGAAAAACCATTATTTTGGCACTTTTTAAAAAAATTTTTGGGCACATACATATATGTTTACTTTGCCAAAATGTATTAACATGACTTTTTTTTTTTTTTTTTCCAAACAAAATGTACAATCTAAATTGACATACACTGCAATATTATGCCACAATATTTACTTGTTTTACTTTCTTACACAAAAAAACATTTACTCTGATTTTAATTACTCAGATATAATTTTTAAAGCATGTAGCTTATTCATAATGAAATTATAGTTTAATGAGATTTGGAGAGTAGGTATTTGCATAAAAACAATACGATTTTCTGAATATATTTATCCAATTGTTTCTTGAATCTACATCTCCTCCTCAAGCTATAGGTTAAATAGAATTGAATCATTATGCTCAAAAAATTGTGCAATATTCACTTGCAATAAGAATTAGAATAAAAAAAATGTATTTTGGCATTAAATAACCCAGAAAGGGTTGATAAAGCATAAAAATCAATAATTTTTGAATTTACAGAGGCTTTAAAAATTTGGTCAAATCAAACATTCAAATTCTATTTCCATTAATTTTTTTTTTTATTAACTGAAAAATATCCATATTTCTATTGAATGAAAATAATTTCTTTTCTTTCTAATCATATTAAAAAGCAAATAGGGGATGAATTTGAGTGTGGATTAAATTTGTCCATTTTACTGGAAAGTCATGAGTCAGAGGAGGATAGTTCTAAGTGTTCCAAAAGAGAAAAACTTGTTATGATGTTCTCAGGAGAGAAAGCAAATGGATCCTGAAACTAAATTCAGAGGTGGATTCGTATCTTTCTCAATGGTTGTGTGTTACTGAATATAATAAACCTGATGAGAATTGGAACTCAGTTCTTCGGTCTCCAATTCTGAGCCATTATCCATTATACCATCTGTACATCCAAGCTTACAGTACCTGGTATTCTCAAGTGGTCACCCATTTAGGTACTGACCAAGCTCAAGGTTGCTTAATTTCGGTGATCAGTGTTTTGACATGATGTGGTCATAGCCAAAAGGACTAAAAAGATTTAGTTTCACACTGGACTTTTGTCTTTTGCTGAAAATGATAATTATGTTCTTGATAAAAAATTTTTGCTACATTTGGACAGGCTTTTCTTCCCTTACTAAAAATGTGATTCGACAAAGAAGAGTCCGTAAGCCAGCATTTGGTACCTTTTCACACACACACACACACACACACACAGCCCAACAGTAGAAACAAAAAGCTTTTACAATCATTATCAACCTTGACAGGAATTGGTTTAAAGATATTTTAAGAATGAGCATGTGAGGAATGTGGACATTTTAAGGAAAATACAAGAAAACTGATAATTACAATTGGAAAGTGACTGCTGAAAATTCTTGAAAACAATGAGGAAAGAGGGCAAGGAGAATTTAACACTCACATGATATAACATAGGCGAAAGAGACAGCGAATAACTTACTTAATGAATTTTGAGTGAATGGCTGGCAAAACAAGGACAAATAGGTCAAAGGTCAAAAGTTACTTAAAACAACAGAAGACAAGAAACAGTGGAAAACTATGAATGTTCATGTCTGAAAAGAACGCATCGAAGAAAAAAAAAAAAGAAGCTATTTTAGGGACATGCTGGATACAATTTTTGGGCATCACCTACCAATCATGAAGTGGAAGTCCAGTACTCTTAGGCTTGAAACAGTGAATCTGTCTTTTTGTTTTTTTTTTTGTTTTTTTGTTTGTTTGTCCTTTTGTAGAGGTCCTCTTTATTGATGGCGTCATTGGGTGGCTTAATGAAGCAGAGAAAGACAGAAAAGGTAAGTAAAAAAGAAAATGAATTTAAAAAAAGAAAGATATTTTTATTACATCAAGCGTTATTATTAGTGAATACTCGTATTTGAAATTTTTATTTTTACTTTTACTTTAAAAAGTGTGACAGGATAAACAAATGAGAAATGTTTCTAAATCTAATGTTTCACTTTTATTAAAGCTTCATCTACTGATCATTGGTGCATAAAAATGCACCAAATCAGCCTCCTAATATTGTTATTAATATTGCTTGAAATGACTTTTAATTGACACCAGGTGATTTTACTCATTAAATTACATAAGAATCAACGTTAAACTAGAAATGCACAAAATCTACCATCTTTAGGCACCAATTATTTTTATTAATATTGCTCAAAATTAATTTTAGTTGATAACATGTAATTCTACTCATGAAATTATATAAGAATGAACTTGAAATATGGAGGAAAAAAAGAGAGGTGAAATTTCTGGTATTTTTAATTATTTTTTTTGGCAATAGCAATATAAGTTTTTTATGGTACAAAATTTAACAATAGCTAGGAAAAGGCAAAATTTATATGGCATTTTTAAAAAAGTTAAAAAAGAACAACCGGTTCCATCCCAGCCTTAAGTTTATTTTCTGGGATATAAAAAATATATAAGTATATAAATTAATATAACTAATGGAAAGGGGGGAAAAATATGAATTTCAAGAAAACGAGTCCAATAACATGTGGACCTAGTAGGCATTCCCTCTGTTTACAAAGGGAAGGCCCACAGGATCTGATATACAAGGACTCTGGAACCTTAATATCAAAAAACAGTCTGCACTAAAATAAAACACTCAATTCCTGCGAAGTGAGAGAATTTGAGTAAATAGAAATGAGTTGGAAGGACAATGGATGGTCAAAATCATAAAGAGAAACACCAATGGCCAACAACGGGTGGACATATGTGGCACACCAAGCAATTTCCAATGACACACAGCCACAAATGACATCACAAAGTCCAAACCAATGACTACTACAATGCAAAAAAGATATTTAGTTCTTTCAAAACTGCTTAATAATAAAAACTTTTAAACACGGTTTATTTCTATTATTGTATATATTACTATATAAAATATATTTCTATTATTGTATATATTACTATATAAAATATATATTTCTATTATTGTATATATTACTATATAAAATATATTGTAGAACAGGTATATTGACCTTGACTTTGATAAAAATACGTATGCTGTTGGCACACTAAAATCACAAGTTGGCACATAGCAAAAGTTTACCAACTGGCCTACAAGATACAAGCTAATGTTGACTATTGACCAAATAATGGATACTATTTCTTCTAAATTGGAATAAACCTTGCTTTGCCTCAAGAACCTAAGCATTGATTTTTTTTTCTTT